GGATTACGATTACGGTTCGGAGTCATGTGCTTCAACACCGAAAACAGTTGTTTCACACTTACCTGAGAGATGGGCAAAGACAAAAAATACTCTGCAGGCATCCCTTTTAATTTCTTGGATCATCTAGGTTGGACGAGTTATTTTTTAAAATTGAATGGGTCTCATGGGTCTTTAACATCAAGTTCACATCTTATTGACCAGTCAAAGAGAAACTCACCTGCAGTTCCCGCTCAAGGCGAATAGTGAGATCGCGAGCCATCTCTAATACATCTCGTAGTTCTTTATATATCTCGTAGTTCTTCATATGCCCCAGTAATATGGCTGAATGTTAAACTTTTTTGGAGCTCCTTTTAGTGTGATTAGCTTTTTGATAATTGGTCGAATCTGAAAAAATAAAATATTTTATGAAAAGTATGTCTCTATTTTTTAATTTTATTAAAAGAATATTGCAGAAGCGGTTATTTCTATATTAAAGAAAGGTTGTCGCACAGGCATTTCAAAAAACCAGTTGGGAATGAATTTTTGGAATCATTATGCAGAATCAGCATTGAATTAATTTGAGTATTTAAACAAAAAGAGCCAAAAAAAACTCTATTATATATACTAAGTAAACAAAATAGTTTAAATAGTAACTTATTAACTAGCTTGATGAGCCTTTTAATCATGTTAAACTAAATCAACCAATGGGTAGCCTGATCTAAAATAGAAATTAAGTTTGGGGATTGATCTCTGAAGTAGTCAACTCACTTTTAAATTTTTAAACTTACATTTAAAGGTGAAAATTTTAACTTCATTCACAATTTTTTCAGCGCGTAAAAAATGTTTGTATACAATATGTGTTCCTTGATTTATAGCCATTACAAAATGAGAATAGAAGTTCAAATATAAAGCAAGACAGTTGTTATTTGCAGCTGATTAAAGACGTATAAAGTATTTGCTTATACCCTTCCCAAAATTACATAATTAGTTAAATAACCCGCAAAAAAATAGTTGTGAAAATTGTTATAATAATTTATAAACTGAACGCGTTATTACACCAAATTAACACATTACGACAAAAACATTGTAATGCGTTTTAATTTAATATAAACTATAACAAATCGAAAAATAAATTTATTAGTTTTTACTTTAAATAAATACTTTACAAACAATGGCCCTAACCTTGCTAAAAAAATCATAACTACACCAAATTCTTTTCAAAAATATCTTAAATCTTTAAATGGCGCGATACTGCAAGATCGTGACTTTTCTCATGAAGAGTATGAAATTGCTTTTTCTTTTTTTAAAAAGAATAAATCACCTGGTTTCGATGACGTTTCTAGTAATATAGTTATTTCGAACAAAAAATACATTTCTAAACCTTTGTTCCATATTATAAAACTATCAATAAAAGAAATAATTTTTCCTGAAGCATTAAAGTTGGCAAAAGTATATTTAATTTACAAAAATTATGATCAATCTAAAATCTCTAATTATAGACCTGTATCAGTACTTTCTGTATTTTCAAAAATATTTGAAAGTGTAATTTATAATAAAATCTATAACCATTTTAATGAAAATAATTTATTTTACACAAAACAGTTTGGTTTTCGAAAAAAAACATTCAACAAAACACGCAATAATTGAAGAGGATTTGAAATTAATAGTTTTCCTCTAGGATTATTTATTGACCTATCAAAAGCATTTGAAGCGGTTGATCATCTAATTCTTTTGGAAAAAATAAAACACTACGAAGCAAAGCTTAACTCAATAATGTTTACTGACGACACAAACCTCTTCCTTTCAAACTGTGACATTAATCAACTATATTCTGACATGAACTCTGAACTAATGAATGTCGATGAATGGTTTAAGGCAAAAAAAACTTTCACTCAATGTTGATAAAACAAAATATAACTTATTTCATAAAAAGTCACAAGATGAAAAACTTCTTTTAAAATTACCTGATTTGATTTTAAATGATACACTAATTAGTAAAAATGATTCCATAAAATTCTTAGGAATTCTTATTGATGAAAATTTATCATGGCTTCCCCATATTAATTATATTCAATCAAAAATTAGTAAAACAATAGGTTTGATGTACCGTATTTGTCCATATGTAACATCAGAAAGTCTGAAACTAGTATATGTTGGCCTAATACATTGTCTCATATACTATGCCAATATGACATGGGCTAGTACTCAACCAACAAAACTTAAAAAAATATTTTCTCTACAAAAACATGCATGCAGACTTATATATATATTAAAAAAAAATATGTGAACATGCAAAACCATTAGTGGAAGACATGCAAATGATGAATATATATGAAATCAACATTTACCTACACCTAATTTTTATGTATAAAAAATAACAGCTTGATTCCAAAAAACTTTAATGATAAATTTACAAAAAATGTAGACAAAAAGTATTCTCTTAGAATAAACCAATGAAATACTTATAAATTACCAAGAATTAATAGTAAGTATTCTGAATATGAAATATCATACCGCGGACCAAAACTATGGAACACTTTTCAAAAAACAAAAAATTTCAATATTGTAAAATCATAAAATTCCTTTAAGTTTATAATAAAAAATGAAATTTTCAAAGTAGATAAATAGTTTTCTTGATTTTTCGAAATGAAAATCGAGTTCCATTATTCTTAGTTTTTTTTACTTGTTAATTGGCTCTTATTTTGATATTTAACACAGTTGCCATGATATTTTAATATTTATTAAAATTTGATAAAACTATATGATATTATTTACTTTCTTCATTTAATGGAAATATTTATGCATGCTTTAACCTTTTTATTATATTGGAGATCCTATTTTTTTTAACTTGTAAAGCCCATCTAGGGGCTCTATGAAAAGATTATGGTTACTTTAGTCATCCGTATCTTCTTTGAGCCCCTGCCTGTTTTTTATAAATCCACTTTTTTTGTATGTAAACGTTTCTTTGTAATTATATTTCTTATTATTTAAACACCAAATATATATTTAAAAAAAAAAAAAAAAAAAAATCAACAAGATCCTTTTTTTCGTCTTGAATGTTTTTTTGAACTAATTCAACTTTTATATTTATCACGTTAGCTGATTCTGTAAAGAATGACAAGATTGTCTTTTTTTGTAGATTTAGAAGCTCTTTCATCATTAACATTGAAACAACTTCAGCTTTGCTCATTTTAATTTATTTTTGATAAATAAAAAAATAATATATATAATTTATTCAACGCCTTTTCTTTCAAAGTCTGTAAAATACTCTATTTTTTTTCTTTGCAAAAACACGTCTGTTCATGAAAAAAGCATGCAGTAAAAAAAAAAAAAAAAAAAAACTTAACGTTTAAACCTTTTTTTTTTAAAAAAAAAGGTTTAAACGTTAAACCTTTTTTTTTTTTTTAAAAAAGACCGTCTTATTATTATACTTATTTAAGCCCCCGTCTGGGTGAGTGACAAAACCCACCCCTGATTGGTATCAAATTTTCTTTGAATTGGTTCACTGCTGACTTCACAATCATCAAAAGTATCAAAACTGACATCGAAACATCTGCAATTGCTGCTATCTCTCTCTGAGAATCTATGGAATAAAAAGAGGTTTTTACTTCTTGGGGTTAAGTCTGAGACTTGCCCATTCTAAAAAAAAAAAAACAATGATTAGTTAGAATGATTAAGAATTTTTTGCATTAATATTAACAAAAATAGAAAATTATTAACCATAACTAATTAAAAAACAACAAATTATTAACGAATGCACGTTTTGATAGTCCTGAACTCAAAAAACTTGCAAATAAATTTCCTAAAAATTAACTGAACTCACTTTTAAGCTCACTTTCTTTTGACTCACAACAAAACTATTTACCAATTGACAGTTGAATAAGAAATAACCTAACTTTTTGACGGGTAAGGATGCCAAATAATATAAGTGTTGCCACAATTTAAAAGCAACAATAATGATACCAGCAACTCAAATGCACAAAAAAAAAAAAACAATTTTATTTGCTAGCAAAATTCATTTAATCTTTAAAACAACAAAAGAAGTTAACTGTCATTAATATTTTGAAAACCCACACCAATAGGTTCTATAAATTAAACTAAGTTATACAAAAATTGTTTGGATCTCAATCAAACAATGTTTTATTTTTTATACACAGCGCAATAGTTGCATTAATATAGCACATGTGCACTTTACTGACCGTTAGGGCACTTGCTTTGGTAGAAGTTTGTAGGTAATTTCTAAAACTTGAGTGTTAATTTTGTAAACTTTTTTTTAAAGTGTTGAGGTTACCATTAATTAATTACAAAGATTTTTGTAATTTTAATAAAAATTTGTTAACTTATACACAATATTCTCAACAATACTTTATGAATAGGAGTGAAAAAGTTCAGTTTTAGTGATCTTTGTTTAATACGGACCATGCAGCACCGTTTTGCTATCAAGGTCATTCATCTCTTTCGATGGACAGTGTTCAGGGGTGGATCCAGGATTTTTTTTGGGTGTTGCCTGTTTTTATCGAGTTGCCAAAATAGTTGGCGATATTTTTTTTGTAAACCCCTCCCCCGGGCTAGCGAGGGGGGGGGGAGGAGGAGTTCAAAGCAGGATCAGTACTTTATTATTACTTACTGGGTATTGTTCTCAACTATCCATATAAAACAAAACTAACAACAATGTTGCCTTGGCTATTCTGTTCATAAATTAGACATTTTTTACTTATCTAACCTATTTAACGAAGTGCACCAACGAGAAGGTAAGCCATAGGGCTTTGCACTCCATCTGAAAAACTGTCGTGTGGCCTAAGATTAGTTCTCCATTTCTAGATTCTTACCTTTTCTTGATAGGCAGTTGGGCCAAATTTTTTTAAAGTTTTTTTTTTAATTTTTTATGTTATTTTTTCTAATTTTCATTAAATATAAAATAAACTTAAATATAAAATAAAATAAAAGAATATAGTCAATAAACAAAAAAGAAATTAATATTAGGAAAAAACTTTTTTTTTTATAAATCTAAAATTTGAGTTTTATAAACAATTTATTTCATTACACTGTTGTGATATATCAAACGCTTTAGTTTGAAGAACAACAGTGATAGCATAGAAGTAGTCCATTATTTGTTTGGTTAAAACTAAACTTACAATAAAAGAAAAATTAGTCATAAGATTTAAAAAACATGAAGCTTTTGAAGAAGTATCAATATTATAACTCTTACCCTCATTGTATGCCATTTCTTCCATTGAATGAAAAAAGGATATGTAGTTATCAAAAAAAACATTCAGACCTTTAAGTTTCTGAACCCATCTAGTTTGACATGTATCGATTAATTTTGCTTGACCAGGAAAAATGAATTTATTGAGACAGCTGGCATGTTTAGGTGATAAGTTAAAAAAATATGATATATCTTCGATTTGATCAAAAACATTTCTAACACTCTGAACATTGCATGATTTACTTACAACTAAACTAACTTTATGGCATGCACAGTGAACAAAAATAGCCTTTGAATTAATAAATTTAATTCTTGATGAAATACCTTTTAATTTACCAGACACTGCCCCAGCACCATCATATCCTTGACCTCTACATTTTTGGATATCAAGACCAAGATTATCAATTGCAGAAACTATGTTTTGCGCAAGAATAAGACCAGTTGTACCAGATTTACATTCAATGAACCATAGAAAGTCTTCACAAATAACATTATCACAGCCAATGTATCTTATAACTAGAGATAGCTGTTCAACATTAGAACAATCAGAGGCTCCACCACACTAGATAAAAAAATAAACTGACTTTTTAATTTTATTAATTAGAACTTCTTAGATGTTTTTCCACAGCATTCAATAAGTTCATTTCGTGTGGTTTTAGATATATAGGTTGCATTTTTAGGAGCAGAACGAATATGGTGCTTAAGAACTTTATCACCTGCTTCAATGCGAAAATTTAAAAGCTCTGCAAAGTTACCTATACCAATGTTGTTTTTACATGCTTCTCCGATTTCTGGATGATACTTACTGTCATCTTGATGACCTCGAAAAGCAATATCATTGTGGCCAAGAAAAATAGTTGTCTTTATAATTGGAATTAATTTATTTTGATTACTTATAATAAGGTTTTTTCTAAGATTATCAATGTCAACTTCAATCAGATTTTTTTTTGAATTAGATCTAGATTGCAGCATGTTAAGACAATGCATTGACATTTGATGAGGTCAACAATTATAATTGTGATTCATGTAAGCATAAATTGCATTACCTCATATTTTAAAAGGTTTTCGAATGAAGTTGGTTATTGGGGTATTGTTTGGGATTCTGCTTCCCAACAGTGTACACGGAAGGCAGTATGCTCCATTGTCAATTTTTGAATAAGCTAACCAGGAATATACAAGTAGCCATTTATGTAAAAATGATCGTTTCTTTTTTTCACCAGAAACAGGAAAAACAAAAGACGAGTTGGGAATAAATATTTTTCTAACTAGATCTAACAACATTGAATCATCTTTGCCAGTAGATAGTTGTCTACCGCGCTCATAGTAAGTAGAAACATCATAAAAAGGAAGGCTTGAAGACTGATCTGATGTACAAGGAATACAATTAGGTAAGATTGGATTAGGAGTAATATCAATATTTACATCTATAATTTTAGTTTCTTTACCTATGCCAAACTTTATGAGAGATTGAACTAATGATTTTTTTTTTGAAAATAGATTTTTAGAAGATAAATTAAGAATTTTTACAAGATAAATTAAGAACCTTAGTGGTAACAGAAGCATGGGATAAAACACTTGGCAAAACCAAACACAATCCTCTTTTTAAATCATCTTTGACAAATTTCTTTGAGCATAAAACTTCACTTTTCACATAAGAGACCACATATCTTTATCCTTGGAAATAGAGCGACAATCAGTGTTACACCATAAAATACTCAGACATTCTTTATTTGTTTTATGATCACCATGTGGGTATATAGATACATTAAATAACTTTTTATATTTTTTTATCCAAATTCAGGATAAATAGACTAAATTTGTTTATTTAACACTGTAGATAATGCAATTAAACAAAGAAAAAAAGCAAATTTACTGTTTCTGCAATTGTTATAGGCTTCTTTTTTTATAATTTCAGCAATATTTATATCATTTAATTCTGTATATGTTTAGTTATAAATAACTCAAATGAAACACATGTCATGAAAACACTAGAGAGTGAAGAAAAACCTTTAAATTCCACTTGGTTTAAGATTATTGGGTATGTCGAATAGAAGGTTGCTTTCTCAAACAATTCAACAGAAGTTAATAGTCAAAGAAATTTATGTGTTTTATCTGATGAATTTATTAATAAAGCAGCAGAGTAGTAAAGACAGTTACCATTTTCCATTGACTTGTAAAGTCATAACATATATAATATATGTTATGACTTTACAGGTCAATAGAAAATAGTAACTGTCTTTACAACTCTGCTGCTTTTTTAATAAACTTTTTTAATAATTCTTGACAAATAATGTTTAGTTAAATATGTTTGTTTTAGTTATATTTAATATATATTTATATATATATATATATATATATATATATATATATATATATATATATATATATATATATATATATATATATATATATATATATATATATATATATATATACTAAATATTAGGAAAATGCTTGGCTTTAATGGCATTGGATAGCAACAAATCGATAATTGCAAACAAAAATAAAATTTGTAATAAAAACCACTTATTACCTAATTTTTGATAAACTTTAATTTATTCGAATACTTAAGGCTTTATGCGAATAATTAAGGCGTTGTTAGAATAATTAAGGATTCATTTTTATATATGAACGGAACCGAGAGAACCCTTTTGATCAAACGTTGCTGCAACTTTTTTTTGTTGTCTACCGGAAATTCGGGTCAAATGAATCCTGAAATAATCAATGATATATTAAGAATAACTTGCCGTAAATCGGTATAAGAAAAAGTGAAGCAAAAATCGGCAATTATGGGGGGCAAAATCTTTACGCTATTAATCAAAACAAAACAAATATGAAGCTTAAAATTGTTTAAAAATGTAATCAATAAAAAATCGATACACAGATAACTGAAAAATTTGATGTTATTTTGATTTTGATTTAAAATTTAATAATTATGTAAACATGCATTGTTTTTTTAAACATTTCAAAATCATACTTATTTCATTTTTTTTATATTTTAAAATTTAACATTCAGCTAAAATCTTAGTTGGATTTTAATCTTTAATCTATTAAGATTTTATGCACCTGTCAGTCATTAATTACCCTCTGCATCAATGCTAGGAGGTTTTATAACATAACTGCAAGGTAAACAGAGTTAAAACTTGTAATGAAACATTTTATAAAACTGTCTTGACTATTAACTAAGTTCTGTGTGACACAACTTAGAGGTTCCTTCTAGAAATGTTAGAATTTTATTTATGGTTAAATACTTCTTGTTATCATAAAAATCATTATTACTTTTTTCTATAATTGATTTACCGTCAATTAAATAAATTTAATTCAATGTTATGTTATAATCTAGTAAGGTTTTCAACACAAAAAAAGCTCCATAGGTATTCAGGTATATAAAGAATATCTTTTTTTTGAAAAGCAAGTTTTTCAATATAAACAACAAATCAAGAAAAGTAACAGTAAATAAAACTTAATTTAATTTTCATATATATATATATATATATATATATATATATATATATATATATATATATATATATATATATATATATATATATACATATATATATATATACATATATATATATATATTTATGCTATAAACCTTTGAATAAAATTAATTTATTTGATTGTTGACGTAGACCAATCATTATATATATATAGACCAATTTTTCTGTATATAATTGGCCATATCTTTACAGTCTGATTGTAAAAAAGTCATTTGCTAACATTTTTATTAGTTGTGTGCAATGTATGTCTTCGGTAACAGCTGCATGGTCAGCATCGTGTTCATTTAGGTCTTTAAAAAAAATGTTTTTCAATAATAATTTTATTAACTGCATAAATCATTTTCAGTTTAAGATTTCGCTCCACATTCATTTTTGGTTTTTTGAAATCATCATTGCGGACATAAATTTTGAAAACGCTCTCGTATACTATTATAGTTTGTATAACACCATTTTTTGGAGCAATAAGCACATTCCTATTTTTTATGTTAATCAATGAAAGAACTGATGCTCTATAAGAATATTCCACAAAATTGTTTTGTGTGAGTTTGCACACACAGAAAATGTTATCTTATAATAATCTTCTTACAATAAATCCAGAGCTATTTAAAAATTACAATCCTTAAGTCGCTCTAAATCACATAACACATTTCTAGTTAATTTTAGCAAATGACTTGAGTCAGGGATTACATACAAGTAGTGATTATAGCCTTCAAAAGTAAATTGTCCATTAATTTTTTCTAGTCTTTTCCGAAATATACATCCTAGTGATGCAACAGAATTAAAGTTAACACTTACACCATCAAATGTAATTTTACTACATTAATTTTTTTATCAGAAGAAATTGTTAATGCTTTTTTAATAAGACATGAAAGGTTTTCAGTTGTTATTTTACTACACAGCATAAGGCCAATAGGTGTTTTCCAATGACCTCGTAAATACAGCATAAATACCAATGCTTCTGTAGCTGGTGTATCTGGTTCAATTGCGACGATATCTTATCCATAATCCGTAAAGCCTATGAATCGACCTGCCTTTTTATTGCTTAGAACTGATGTTTTGATTACCATTGCATCTATAATTAATGCACAATCTTTATAATTAATATCAGCCACTGCTTTTATATTAATATAACTTAAAACATCTTCAAAAAAAAAACCAGTTTTACAATCTACAAAAGAAGTCCAGTTGGCTAAAGAGCTTGAAGCAGGTAAATGGAGTATAGGCCGTAGAAAATTTTATGCTTTAGGTGAGTAAAAATGCAGAGTTATTGCAAATTTTTTAATTTCATCAGTATACCTATGCCCTTTAGGAAGTGAGGTATTGTTTTTAAACTGATTTTTTATAATATCAAAAGTCAATCCACTAAAGTTTTCACAAAAAGTATTACCAATATTTTTTGTAAAAATATAAGTTGTGTTAATATTAGCAGCAACATTACTGTTATCACTTATATCCGTATAGAAATCGATGTAATGGTGACTGCCTGTTTCTGAAACTTTTTAAATGAGTCTCTTTTTATTTGTTTGTGGCGATATAGGACTAAACTTTCTTTTGACTTTTGGTTTTGAATCAATAGTAATAGATCGCATAGAAAAAGGTTTTAATTGCGGTTTGTTATTAAAATCAGGTATATTATAATCTGAAGGTAAAAAGTGATCACTACAAATGCAGCTGTGCTCAGTAGGAATGTTTCACGTTTTATAGCAACAATCCACTTTTTACAGAGTTCGCTATTACTAATTGGAAATTTATGAAGTACTCTGTTGTTGTTTTTCATTGCTCTTTTTGTACAACCTGCTGCTGCACAAGAATTAACCATGATTTCTAATTTTTGAATATTAAATATTATTTGATCCAAACAACCGTGATTTACTATTTATTTTTGCCCCCCATAATGGCTGATTTTTGCTTCAAAAAATACGCGGAAGTTAGATCTAACGTAATAAAGGCCAAAAAAATCCCTATTATTTCCAAAATAACTAGATGTCTATAGACATCTAGTTATTTTGGAAATAATAGGGATTTTTTTGGCCTTTATTACGGCAAGCAAAATAAATACATTGCTATAACGATTGATTAAAAGGGTTTTTTCGGTACCGTTTTATTTAAAAAAAGAATCCTAATTTAATAACGGCGTTTTGAAACATGACGGAGGAGAGCTAAGTCTGAAACACTGCATGTTTTTCTATAACGGCGATGCTTTTTTTTTTTTTTAAAGAACTCATATATTCATATAAGTATACTATAAATTTAATTTTAGTATTTTTTAGATTATGAAACGGATTTTTTTATAACTTTTTAGAATATTATAGGTGAATCCTGGGCAACACAGGATACCCCCTAGATCCGCCCTTGGTGTTGAGCTTGATAATTGTTCGTGGATTGTATGACTCGATGAGTCTTAATTGGCTGAAAAAACGTTCTGCAATAATACTAAAATAGGTAAGGGGTTGTCCACAACTTGTCACGATTTACGGGAAGGGGGATGGGGTTTGTGGTTTGTGACAACTTTTACGGAACTAGTTACTAAAGAGTAACAATTTTGTGTGTATGGGGGAGGGGGAATTGTTAAAAGACGGTCAAAAATTGCGTGACGTAATATGTGGACAATCCCTTATGTCATATTAAGGATAAATGTCAAAGAGATTATTAGTTAATTTTATGACAAAAAATTTTTTCTGTTTTAAGATATTGTTATTTTTTAACTCTTCTTTTTGCAAAATTTAAGAAATTATTTAAAGTTATAATATTGCTTGGAATGTTGTTCTTAGATAAATAAGTTATCGTTCTAAGAAAAACTTGATAAGTTCTAAACATCCTCAAAATGCTTTAGATCTAGGCATTTTAACTTTAAAGCGTTCTTCATGAACTATTTAAAGCAATTCTTTATTATACAAAGCACAAAGTCTATTAAGATCAGATAAGTATCAACCACAAAATATTTTCTGACTTTTTTTTTTCCCTTGTCAAGAACAAGCTTTTCTTAATGCCGCTGTTTTTTATCCAAGTCTATTTTGTTGTTTTTTTGTTGTTGCAAACTGTTATTAGGTGTGTTCAAAAAAAAAATATTCAAAACTCAAATACACAAGAAGCCAAATTTGGAACAAAAATTAAAAAAATACAATTACAAAAAAAATTTCAAAACTAGTGACATTTACCTTGTGCTCAAGCGACAAAATACCCCGAAAAATCCCCCAAATTGTTCCAAAAGTTATTTGGCTTTGAGCGCAAGGTAAATCCCAATATTTTGTATATTTTTTTTTTTTTTTTCTATTCTGATGATTATTTAAAGTCTATTTTTAGATTAAAATAATTTTGTGCAAATACGTAAATGTATAAAAAAACCAGGATATACAACAATCTAAAAAAAAAAAAATGGATCATTATGATCACATTAGAAAAAAAATGTTTACAAAATATTGACATTTACCTTGCACTCAAAGCCAAATAATTTAAGAACAATTTGGGGCATTTTTATTTTATAAGCTACTATGTCAACGGTACTTTTCCTTAAAAAAATATTTTTACAGCTTACTTAACAACAACAAAATTTGAATTTTTGAAGAGATACTAGAATTAACTTAGCTTTTGCTTAGGGTGCTTGGCTGTGCAGTTTTTTATTTGCCCGGCACCAATTTTCTTCAAAGCTAAAGGGTGCACCATGAGAACCTAGGCAATACTTTTTTTTTTTAATAGAAAATAAATAATTGCGTCTATTTGCACTTTTATTTTTTTATTTCAAGTTTGACATATGTTATTATATTTTATAATAACATATGTCAAACTTGACTTATGTTATTATAAAATATAATAACATAACAACTTTATAAGCTTAAACCTTAGTTCCTCATTGTTTTTTGAGCATTAGCATAGACGTTTTGCTTAACAAAATCCTGTTAATTGTTTTTTAAACAAGTTTTGATAAACCGTCCAGTCCCAAAGTTTTTAGACCTTTGGACAAAACAATATTTCATTCTCCAAATAAATACCTAGAATGTTATGAAATCCTGAGGAGGTTTAAACAAAGTAACTCGTTTTCATCTTCAATAGTAAACTGTTCAAGAACAGCATCAGACATGTTTATAATGATAGAAGTTTTGATGAACCAAACAATCCCAAAGTTTTGGAACTTTGGGATTGGACAAACCTTTAGAAAAAACAAACTTTACTCTCCAAATGAATATCTAGAGTTTATTGAAATTCTGATGAGGTTTAAATAAAGTAACTCGTTTTTTTATGAATTTTTTTAAAACACTTTGAAACGGATTTAATTCAATCTATTTTCCATTTTTTTTGAACTTATACTTATTATTTGATAAATAATTAAGAATTTAAATTTGTTATTCGATATACTTCGATTGTAATACCAGTCGAAATTCAAAAGCATAAGTTATTCCGTATTTTAAATGTGACGAAGAGCCGAAGGCGCGAAATGTTTCGCAATATCGCTGCGTAGATTTAAAGGAGGAAACACGGGGACACCCATAAGTGCTATTTTTAAGCCTCTTCTTTGAAATTTCCCTAATATTGCACCATTATATTGCACAAAAATTGAATAGCTAGACAAAAATGGATCTCAGAAAAATTTTAGAGGGAACTGTATCGCCAGGTACCTCTTATTTGTGTTGATTTTTTTACATTTTAATATTTTATATTGTGTAAATATAAAAATTACTAATGTGTGTGTGTGTGTGTGTGTGTGTGTGTGTGTGTGTGTGTGTGTGTGTGTGTGTGTGTGTGTGTGTGTGTGTGTGTGTATCTGATTTTTTCGCTAATTTGCAGAAACATTAAGGTCTAAGAAGAAATATAAAATTCTATTAGTAGAAACACAAAACTTTAACTGTGAATAAAGTTAAATATAAGAATAAGTTTGACTACTACGCTGTATTTGATGTTAATGCTTCGATTTTATACTTATAATATACTAATGTAGTTTATTATATTATAAATATTGTTATAAATATTAAAAATTATATTGAAATGTTATAATAAAACATTAAAACAATGGGTTTGGTGGGTCATATAAATCTAAATGTAGTTTGGATGTAATTGATCAACTATGTAACAGGTATTAATAGATACAGTCACTCCTAAAATGTTTTTTACGGAGTAGATCGTGGTCTATTTTTTTAATAAAAAATGTTTTTAGTGACATTTTGTGTGGAATGGGTGTGGGGCTAATGTGGCCTAATGCAAGTTTAGCTTTTTAAATAAGCAGGTGTTAAAATTTTCATATTACGTTGATATATACATTCAAAGTTAATTAGATTGATAGATAAACACATTCTCTAAAGTATTTACTATTGCTTAACTGAATCTTGTTATCATACCTGTTTAAAGTGGCATCTGTTTTCCATCCTTAAAATTATTAGAATTGCCTTCTATGGCTTAGGAAGAAAAATTAGTTTTAAAAAAGTTGAAAATGTAGTTGATTATGAATGTACTTTTCTGTGATAGCATTAGACTTGAAGTTGATGATTTAAGTTAATGACATCATTCCAATTTAGCTGCACCTATTATTCTTTTAATTAATCTATCAATTAATAATCTTGTTATATTTGCCTTTGATCTTACCTTTTTTTTTAAACAAAGTTCAAAAATCCATTGTAAATGTTGTTGAACTTGCTTTAACATCCAAGCTTGTATCTCTTACACATTGTAAGATTGTAATTATTTTATTATTTCAATTATTTCTTAAATTTGTATGAAATATATAATCTTTTTAATTAGAATATAAAAGATACAGTATACCTGCTTACCAGTTTAGTATGTCGAAGTTAGATCTAAAAAAAACCCCAAAAAACAAACAAATATATAATAAAAAGTAGATATTCTTAAACTTGTATTTCAGTTTAAATATAAAAGAGAATACTTTTTTATCACTTTGTGATAGCAAAATTAAAAATAAAGAAATAAAAAAAACAATGCAGACATAAAATATTTTATATAATTTTATTTGTGTTATAAAATTTATATTTAATTTTTTTTTCCATTAAAATAACTTATAGAAAGCACAATATATATATATATATATATATATATATATATATATATATATATATATATATATATATATATATATATATATATATATATATATATATATATATATATATATATATATATATATATATATATATATATATATATATATATATATATATATATATATGTATATATATATATTATAAAATGATATAAAAATATTTATAAAAGTTTGTGCTTTTAGACCAAAATGAACTACAACAAGCATCACGAGTTTTAGAAGAAGCAGCTACACAAAACTTTGTAAGTCTTTTTTGTGTATTTTTTTTTTTTTTTTGTTTATAATAAACAATATTTGTTTTACAACAAATTTTTTTAATTGTTTAGACAGAATTTTTAAATGTGATCTATGTTCCGAATTAGTGAATTCCAACATATATTATTTTTATAATATAAAACATTATTTTTATATATCATAAGTTTTTTTAATTTAAAAAACAGTTTATGACAGTCGCTCTGTGAGAAAATGTTTTATAATAATTTAATAAGAATCTTTAAAAATTACAATTTACGACAGTTGTTCTGTTAAAAAATATAATTTTTTTGCACATTATTTAATCTTATAGGCAATTCAAAATATTTTTTGTAAATATTACTTATAGAAAAAAGTTTTATAAAATTAATCAAAGTTTTACTAAAGAAATGTTGCTAAACTTTTTTATAGCCACATTTTTTGGTTGCATTATCAGAGCTTGTTGCAAATGTTAATGAAAATCCTATTATCCGCCAAGCTGCTGGCATTCAATTAAAAAATTGTTTAGTAGCAAAAGATACATCATTAAGACAAGTTTACCAACAGAGATGGTTTGCTCTAGAAGAAAATATCAGATTAACTGTTAAAAACAAGGTTATTTTTTTATATTAAATTTAAATATGAACACCTTTTTCTTTGTAATATTAATAAATTAATTATATAAAGTGTTAAAGAGATTTTTGTTTTAATAGTAATTATTTTTATTATTGGTATCATTATTATTAATCTTATTCAATTCATGTTATGTTTATTTTTTATCTTCATTTTTTAACCATATTTCAGACAATGTTGATTTAATATCATAGACTACATTGTTTAGGATCTTGCAATCATTTTTTGCAATATCTCAGGAGTGTATCTCTTTAGTATAAGTGTCTGTGTGCTATATTGGATCTAGTTATTTTCAGTTTTAGTGTGTTTGTGTTAAATCCAGTTAATGGATTTTCAGTTTTAAATTATTCAGAGATAGATTATCAATCTGCTACACTTTCTTGTTGAGTTAATGGTTGTTTAATTGAATTGCTAATATAAAATCGATCTGCAACAACTTGTTCAAACAATATTGCAAGTTATAACAAGTTTAGTATAATTATAAATGTATTAATCAAATATTTAAAATGTAAATTTATTAGTATTAAATATATAAATTAATTATATTTGAGCTGTTTATTTTGAAAGTGGCTTTTTCAAAAAAATCAAGTTATTGATAACAATGATTACAATTTTACAGTATCTCTTTATTTGTGAAATAATTTAAACCAATTGTGTTGAAAATTGTATTTGAAATTATTAAGTTATATTTGTGAAATTTTAACAAATGAAGAGATTTTTTGAAAAGGTGACTAATGCCACTTTCAAAATAAACAGCTGATTTATAATATTTAATAAATCTTTAAAATAAAAACATGGTATTAGCACAAATTGATGTTAATGCATTAATCATCTTATTATTATTTTTTATTAAATAGTTTGATTTTGTTATCTGGAGTTTTACGAATGAGAATTTCTTGGAAAAGTGATATGTTACTATTAAGTTTTCTTGTATAAATTAAATGTAAAAGTTAGTTTGCCCCGTAGTCTAGTTTTTAAATATAAATGATTTTTAAATTAAAAATGGTGGTTTAATTTTAAAGTTGTATCATTTCAGAAAATATTGATTTAAAAATTTTAAAAATCTAATACAATTTCCTTACTGCGCAGCTCATTACAATATATATAAATACTTTTATCCTTTCGCAATTTTATTTGTACAATGATAGTCTGTTGATTGCTTTACCAAATAATGATATAAAACAAGACAGTTATAGATACAAGTTATTGTGGACATAGTATTTGCTTTTTTATATATTTTTAATGGGTTTTTTGTGAGCTAGTTAAGTCGTTATTTACCTTTTTAGTTTAACTTATAAATAACTTATAACATTATTTAGTTTAACTTTACAATGCAATCCTAAAAACAGATTTTATTTTTATTAACTTATTTTGTTCAAGTCAAGAATTTTGTTGTGCTGTTGGAATTTTTTTGCTTTTTTTTAATTTGTTAGTTAAGAAACAGTTTCACCAGACAAAAAAAGGGAATCAGGGCTAAAAAAGAAACTCAGGGATCCCAAACTTTAAAAACATCAAATGCCTTTGATTTAAATATTTTTGATATTCACCTTTTTAAAAACTGGTTTGGGTCAAAATATGAAGATTATACTTATTTATTTGATGTTTAGTGATGACTAATTTCGTTATTTAAATATTTAATTTTTTGTACAAAATTTTTAGCTTATTAATTTACAAAATTTTTAGTAGAACTTCTATTCTGTAGATGTTAGACTATACAATATATTCAGTAGATCTATTATTCTGTAGATTAAGAAATAAATGAAAATAATATGGTCTAAAATTATAAGTAACTTTTAAAGTATGATTCAAATTTCATCTGTATTCGGTGCTTGGATTGTGGAAAAATGAATGCAGTATTTAGAAAGAGTTGGTGCAAAAAATTGCGGCAAACAATACAATAATAAGAGTTGATTGTGCACGTGCTGCTTAACACACCACGAAGCATTATGCAATAATTTTAAATATGGAAGATGCCTTAGATGGTATTTAACTGAATATTACAATGATTTTTAATGACATTTTTTAAACTCAATTTAAATTTTTATTTTTTTAATAATTTTTAATAAACAAAAAAAAGGAAGTTTTAACTAACACTCTATAAGATTTTTCCAGTTGCCGCCAAAACCTCAAATGCCTTTTTCATTCTTTTTTTTTTTTTCAATAGTATGTTATTAATTATTGAAAACCAACCCATATGACCACCTTGGCCAAATTAGGAACCAACCTTTAATTAAAAGGTAAATTAAGGCAACAAAATTAAAAATGCAAAGAACTTTATTCTGAGAATCTGTGTCATATACTGTAACGGAATTTAAATGGAATAGAATGAGACAATCAAATTTTTTATTGATTGAAGTTATTTAGAATCGAATTTGAACTTTCTTTGTTAGGATAGAATTGTTTACAGTCAAATTTTTTAGGATCAAATTTTTTCAATTAAGTTGTTAAAACTTGTTGCAGTCGAATAATATAAAACCACCATCTAGAACAGAATAATATAGAACCACCGTAGAACAGAATCTTCAAGAATCGAATTAGTTAAATAAATTAAAATCTTTATATATGCAATAGTATATTAAATAATACATTAAATTAACACATTTATAACATCTGCTGTTGGTCTTCTGCATACTGGACAGTAATTAGTAGCACTACTTTAAATGGCTTCAGCATATCGCTGACATAGGCAAAGATGGCGGCAAGGGAAAACAACAACTTGAAGGTTGTTTACGAGCCAAACTTTACAGACATTTTTGATTGGTCACCACAGGAGCTTGTCCATTTGATTAAGATTCTTCATCAACAGTTTGTTCCTAAAAAAAAGTATAAACATAAAACATCTAACTAGTAGAATTCCTTGTCACTGTCCCAACAAAGAGAGGTTGCCACCTGTCAACAACAACAACAAGCCCCTACAAGACATGAATACAATGCAGTAAATACTTTTTGTTTATTGTTAAAATTTGTTGAAGCCATGTCTAGCATTTTCTCAAGAGCTGGAAGGTGATCAAAGTTTTAGGGCATAGTTTCATAATTGTGACCATGTATTGTCTCAAGAAAATTAGTTGACAAAATTATTTTTGCACTTCCGTCACAAAGTTGATGGTGCTTAAACCCAGGGTTGGCAAAAACCCGGGTTTTTTTAAAAAAACCCGGCCTAGTGGGTTTTTTTGGGAAATTTTGGGTTTTATTGGGTAAATTTGGGTTTTTTTGGGTTTTATTTTTATTTCGTCTCTAAAAAATTTTTTTTTTTTTTTTTTGTTATGATATTGAAAATTAGTTTCATTTTCTACTTTAACTTTATTTAAAATATATTTTATATATTGTTATTTAATGATTTATAACAAGAATTTTCAAATTATTTTGAAAATTTTTTTTAATTATAATTTAAAACGGTAAGAAAAAAAATTTTTCACATTAAATCTATATGTATTGATTCGTTTTAAATTTAAAGTATTAATCTATATAACTAAAAATGTCAATGAGAAATGGAAAAAAAGAAGGCTAGAGAATGGGAGGTAGTAACTGAAGTTTCAATTAAACTTTGAACAAACTTGTTTCTCCGCACAGCGGCCTTGTTTATAAAGATTTGTGTTTAGGAGTTGAGTAGTTGAGAGAGAGTTGAAACCACAATAACGTAGCCTCCTTGACTGTAGTGGGCTTTTCTGGCCACTACTACTCATTCACCTTGGTAGGTGAATAACATAAAAGATTAAAAAATCTCAATCGATAAAAATATTTGAATAAAAATTGGAATAATGTATTTCCAAATAATGATTCAAATATTAGTAAACCTGCTCTGGTAGCTGTTATTGTTGGTTATAATAGTTAATAATAATAGTTAATAATAATTTAGTTAATAATAATAGTTAATAATTATTTTAGTTAATAATATTATAGTTATAATGTTAAAGTTGGTTATAATAGTTCATAAACTTATTAAATATCTTTAAAAAAACCCAATAAAACCCAGATTTCTCCGGGTTTTATTGGGCGGGTTTTTTAATGCCAACCCTGCTTACACCTGAGATACACAAAATCATTATTTTCCTTATTTTTGATGTAGCCAAAGTCCCCTGCAACATACAAAAATTTTTTCTGTTTGTCACCTTTAATTTTTCTGTATTCCATTTTGCTATTTTAAATTTAAAAGCTTGATATATTTTCACATGCATTTGTTGGATTTTTTATGTTTACATAAAATTTTGCAACAAATAAAATATATTATTTTCGAAAATAATAAAAAGCTTTTTTTGTAGGATCATGTACACGTTAACCTTTAACACAAAAACCAGTTTAAAAAAAATGCTGTCTTTCAACTGCAACAACATTACACATGCATTAAAATTACATTTGTAAAAAAATTTGATTGTAAATAAATTTGATGCTAAATTAATCAGCTGTGAAAAGTAATTGAGTTTTTAGTTTCATCAAACTTTAAGTGATATTCGATCATCTTGTTCTATGTTCTAAAGTCGATTCTAGAAATTAATCAAATCTTTTTCGATTCTAAGCAGTTAGTTGTTCGGTTTAAGAACATTTTTACGAATTCGGTTCTGGCATTGGATGTCCTAGAATCTGTATTATAAACTTTTTTTTAATTACAACTATTATATTCTCAATTACATCTTATGATTTCTTATTTACAACTTTCATCTTCTCAATTACATCTTAGGTTTATGAATTGTAACTTTCAAGTTCTCAATTACATCTTGAAAAGGTGTTTTTTAGCAATAAAAGTTAAACTTAATCAAATAAGTGGAATGACTAATAATTTAATAATTTTTGATACTAAGAAATACTAAATTAGGACTTAACATTTAAGTAATTTAAAAATTATTTGATATTTTTCATAATAGAGCATTACAAAAACCATGCAACGATATTTAAAAAAAAAATTTAATTTTTTTCTTTATAATAATTAAGTTAATCAGCAACTAGAAATGGTTTAAAAATCTTTTTGGGTCATTCCATGCTAAATG